CTGTACACTTTGAGAAGTTTCTCTCTAAACATACCACAAAACTAGTTGTAACATGTGTCCATTACTGGAAAGGGAGAAAACTGCTGCCAGCTTCAGCCTCCTGGAGAACAGGCAGGTTACACAGCCATGCAAGGAATCTCCTCTTGCCATAAAACAAACAAAGCAACCCACACAGCTTCAGCAAGAACTTCTCCCATGGACAAAGAGCTCAGCAGAGGCATTCTGAGGAGCAGAAGTCCTGCACCCTAGAACACAGGTATGTCCAACCTGTTGTCCCTCTTTAATCTGCAGGGTAATGTGGGAATAACTTGAGAACAAAAAACCCACACACAAGATTTAAAAAAAAAAAATTAAGAAAGGGGAAAGAAAAGGGAAAAAGCAAAGTTCTCTGGAGGAATAGTTGCTCATCCTTGTAGAGCTACACTCTCAAGAGAGGGATTGCTGGACTCCTCAGCAAGCCAAGCACTGGAGCCCAGGAAAGCAGCAGGTAGGAAACCCCTGTCAACACACCCTGGGAAGAGTCAAATCGACCACCTCAGAAAATGCTGCATGAGTCTGGGGCACCTGGTGCTCCAGAGGAGAACAAAAGCACAACCCCAACGTGACACCAGGCTGGGGTGTCAGCTTAGAAATGAACCGAATGCTGCAAGTCTGAACGGATCCGACGTGGTGAAGCGCTGCTCCCCTTTGATGGACGTGAAGCAGAGGCTTGTGTGCACCTCAAGAAATCCAGCCATAATTAAAGCCACACACCTCCCTCTTTGTCTAAACAATGCCGTGTTTCCTACTGCATGAGTTAAGAAATAAAGATGAAATGCAGACGGTAGGGTGACACTCCTGTGTTTGGAGCCACCAGCTGCAGTGTGTGAATCTAAGGCTGGGGGCTAAGGCAGAGCTGAGCACTCCAGACAGAAAAAGCCACCCTACAAATGAAGAAACAGCTAAGGGACATGGTGTACACCCTCCCTGGGCTAGCAAGAACTTCACCTTGTGGAACTGTCCCTACCTAGTGTGAAGGACTGGGCGTTGTGTCAATTAATAAAAGATCACCTGTAGAGCAGGGCTTCGATCATATCAAAGTCTGCTCCGGAAGGAGAAAGCAGTGGAAATTGAGGAATTGTTATCTTGCAGGCTGTAACAAAATAGTGAGGTTCTGGAGACAGCTTTTTGTGGCTTTTATTAGTTGCTCTAGGGTGAATTTTCCACGCTGCATGGTGTATTTAGTCATGCAGGTTCTTTAAACACCAGTGGGAACTGCGCAGTGGGTGGAAGACACAGCCATTTAACTTGCCTGTTTTGCCTTTAAATTGCTTGCCAGGCACCTCGTTCTGCAGCACCCTTGCTGGGGAAGGCAGTGGAAGTGGAGAACCCTTCCCCACCCCTTCCTGCAGATCCTTGCTGGTCCATGCAGCCCTGCCCCTGAATTCCGAGGGAATCCGCAGCCTGGCTCCTCACATCAGCGATCTCAGGTGGGTGCTTTTGAAGGGACGCGGTAGCAGCAGGGGAGACACGGAGGCGACAGACTGCTCCATGCAAAACCCGCGGTGGGGAGGTGGGAGGAAGAGAAAGGAGCCTTGGCCAAAGCCCACGCAGGCGGTGGGATGCTTCATGTTCGGGCAGCTCTGCTCCTTCAAGCGCCGCATGAGAATCAACACGTGAGCGCCGAGCAGGGACGGGAGCTGCACGTGTTCTCCTGCCCACTTCCAGCAAGGCTTTACTGAAGGATTCCAAGATCTGAAGATTTCTGATTATTTATTATTATTATTTTATTTTTTTTTAGTTCAGTTTGTTTTTAACTCACGCACGCCAGCTTTTCTCTGCTTCTGCCATTTGTGGATTTTTAGTTCGTACAAAAAACACTCACTTGCAATGTTTTAGATGCTTTAAGAAATTATTTTTTAAATTTTTTTTTGTATTTTGGATTTTTTTTTGTATTTTGGATTTTTGTTGTATTTTGGATTTTTTTTTGTATTTTGGATTTTTTTTTGTATTTTGGATTTTTTTTGTATTTGGAATTTTTTTTTTTTTTTAACTAGAAGAAAGGCTCGCATAACTACAACAGTTACTAGAGCCAGCTATTCCCAAGCACTGCAGGGATCTAGCTCCCAGGAACAAAATGAGTGCTTGGAAAGTGCCTTTTTTTACTGATGGCTCCTGACAGACTGCCCTGAACTCTGCTCTCACCTCCTGATGTCCTGAGCTCTGCACTTAGCTCCTGATGCTTTGCCATTTTTCTGAAAGCAAAACTCAAGAACCCATTGCAATGGATTCAGGGACAGAGTTCACCAAAAGGTTTTCTGCATCAAATCCACTGGATTAATTTTTAATCTCTGCTAGAATATCCAGTATTTGTACAAAGTATCTGCACTTGGATATTGAGAATGCCTCCACATTTGTCTGTGGGGTGTTCAAGTGTCTGGTGGTGGGGGACGCTTCCTTTGTTTGTTTTTTTTTGGAGTAGGGGAAAAAAGGCTGTTACATTTTTGTTCTTAAGAAATGTCTGAAATTTTAAAGAAATTTACACAGATCACTGATTTGGACTACTAAAAATTAAGACTAAAAATTAATTCCAAATACCAACACAAGGTGCACTTCAAACCTGTGTCTTTATGAACAGGATTTTTAATGAATGCACTTCAGTAAGCTTCTAAAAGAAACCTTTCTGAAACAGACTGCATTTCCATCCTTTTCCAACCTGCTCTGAAACTTTTAACTCCTCCAAACCCATTTCAGGTGGGACATTTGTAATCCTCTTTTCAGAAGCAGCACAAACCAAAGCCAAATACCCATTTTAATCCATCATGAATCTGCATTACTGTAACACGGATGGTTTTGTTCCCTCCCCTGTGCCACCATAATTAGATCAATCAAAGAATTGATCAAGGTGCAAACCAGCTTTGTTGGTTGGGATTAAGGAGCCATGCAACAACAGCCCTGCATGGAAACTTTGATCAGGAAGGGTAGGAAACAAGCTGAAGGGACACACAAAACAGAGGATCTCCTCATCTCTAATAACAGGAGAGCAACTGCAGCTGATAAAAAAGTGGCTGTCCAATAAAATGATACAACTGCTCTTTACCAACCTGGTCTGTGGGTATTGCTTGGATGTCCAGTTAACAACCTACATGGAGAAGCTTTCTGATAATTAAATTTGCTATCTGACTAGGCTGCATCTAACTCCATGCTGAGAAATTTTGCAGCTGAAGCAAATAAAAGTGAAGACCACTTCAATGGCAAGACCATCAGCCCAGTACAACACAGCAGCAAACTTCACATTGGTTTAAACCAGAGAACTGGGGAGGGGACAAAAGCAACTACAGAGAGCTTAAAGCAGTGCACAGCTGAGAGCAGCTCATTCTGCTTCAAGTTCTTTAAAACCAAAATCTAGGAGATGAAAAACAACTGGTCAGGCTTGTCTCTGTGTGTACATGAACCCACACATATATACATGTATGTGTACAAATATATGTATGACAAGATGAGGAGCTGCAAAAAACCCAAGCTGGACAGTGAGAGAAACAAGAACATAAAAATAATGTTTCTGCCCCAAAACTATTAAATTGCAGGTTGGCTTAATTTTAAACCCTTGAACAAAAAGTAACACGCTTGACCATGAGATTTTGGAAGATAGGAAACCTGTGAAGCAGCAACAGAGATCATGAGAGCACGGTAGCTGGCAGCAAGTTGGGCATGAGATTTCTGCACGTGGTGGGGTGTTTATTCTCCTACCAAGGGCCCTGCAGAGAGATCACATCGCAGCAGGGAAGGAGCAAACTCACGGCCCACGAGGGCAGCGCTGGAATGTGGCGTTGCTTCCCCGTGCCAGCCATTGCCACATCACAGTAGCTCTGGGGACACATCCAGAATGTGTGTGCAGGGCAGGAGAGCTGAAGAATGAGCTCAAAAAGATGTGGTCCAGCTGAGCAAAGAAATAGATGTCAGCAAGCGTGGAAATATCAAAAGGAACTCTGGAGAAAGGGGCAAGGGAGGATCTTGGTGGCAGAAAGAGAAGTAAAAGGTTGACATGAAGGAAGGAAGGAAGAAAAGCAGGTTGATCCTTGCTAGCAAACCCTGTCTAGGTATGGAATAATCCTGCCAAGAAAAGCAAACAAGATGGAACAGGACATGGCAGGGAAGGGAGCTCCCACCACCAACTCACAACGGAGGATGGATGCATCCACCTTCCAAAAACAGCAAAGCTTTACCTTGCACTGTACATATTACACACAAATATTTAAAATCACCAGGGAATCTCCCAGTGTGCCTTTGGAAAAATTAATATCTATCTATATCCGTGCTCAGGCTAATCCCATCCTCCTAATTATCCTCCCAATTCAGCACACACTTATGTAATGCCCAGGCTTTATGATATGGAGGCACCTACTTGATGATAAGTTCTGCACAGCAGCACTGCCTGAGTCACCAACCTCACTCAGGGCTTTACAGTGAGCACCCTGCTCATAAAAGGAGCAGGGTGTGTTTGCATTTAACTGCAGGATGGCACAGCAGCATTTCTAATGCTCTCCACTGGAAGACTGACTGTTTCCTGGCTCAAGGGCAAACAGTTTGTAAAAGTCCTCCCTACCGCCAAACTCTTCTTTTGCAGTTTGCAACATCTCTTCACTCACCTTAGGACTCTATTAGGGACAGGTCACATACTAAATTAATGCTGACATTTAAAAACACTTCAATCAGCAGCTCCATTAGCCTTCCAGCAAGAAAATGCACATTAAACCGAGCTGCAGGGTCTGAAATTTAATTATAAATTTCACGTCACACAAAAAGAAGGTTTGGGGCCACATTTTCAAAGTGAAGGTGCCTCACAGAATATGTTCATCTCTTATTTTGCATATAGGTTCCTGTGCCTGCTTTGCTTCTTGGAGGGCTTTCCAAGATGCCTGTGGATGTAAAAGACTGCTGGCTGGAAAAGTTTTGGATTAGACCATTCCTTTCTGAACTCCACAGAAGTTCTCAAGCTTTTCTTGAGAAGTTTCTCAAGACCTTGCTGTGTTTCATAGAGAAGCCAACAGTTCAGGGATGTCAGCAATGACCTCACCAGCGACTATTTTTTTTATTTTTGTACATTTTGCACTTTGCCCCTTTGTGTTACATCACTGCCCAGATATAGGCTGTGTGCAGCAGGCAGAACATCAGGCACTCCTGAAACAGTGAGAAAAACACAGCCTTGCTATCTGGGCTCATGGATGAGTCAAGAATCAGGAATTTAAGAAGTTATGCAAGCAAGCATGAACTTTTAAGTAAATAAATACTTAGCAAAGGTCTCTCAGCACCATTGTGTGAGAACAGGCTTTCAACAGTTCAAATCCTGATGTTCTGGTCATAATAGCATGACCAGCTCTAGATGCCTCCTACCTCAGAAACAAAATCCTTCTAAGAAATAAATCACTAAGAGGCCTAGTAAAAGAGCTGAGACCATCACAAGTGTGATTGCATTGGTGGCACACACCTCTTATGGCTCCAACCCTCTCATGACATCAGGAAATCTGTCTTTATTTAATGAAAACCTCATTTTTAGAATGATACAGGCAAGACCAAAGGCACTTGATCAGTGAGGGGGCCAGGAAAACAGGGAGCAGATGGATAATGGCACTGCTAAAAAATAATAATCAAGCACTAAAAAAAAACAAAAAACAGGGAAAATACTGTATTTCAGTCTCTGTGCTGAAAAAGAAAGTTGAGAAAGCAAGCACAAGCTCCTTGGTCCAGCTGACCACAGAACCTCCAGCAGAGAGGGCTAACAAGTTTGCCAAGTTTACTCTTGAAACGGATAACGAAAATAATTTCATGCTGTTACAGCCACAAAAGAAATTCCTTTCAGTGACCTCTGGTATGTATGAACAGTCAGGAGAGAGATTCTTCGTCACTGTACATGCTCTGAGCAAATGGAAATGAGCTTCCTCTGGGAAGGCTTCTCCAGACTCCAGCCATAAATAGGACCTGTGCATTTAGGGGTGCAAAGACCTAGAACAAGGCAACCATGGCAACTGTGGAAGTGGCAAAGATGATGTAGAGGTTCACACTACTTTTCTCTCCCTGTTCTCATGACCCTGCTGCAGGGAAATTTGTAGCAGGACCCATTAGGTCTCAGAACCAGAGTTCACTACAACCTTCTAAAATTTCAGGAGTTATCTAGCCATACCTCTATTTATGTACTAAAATGGTGCATAAACCAGGTGGATTTTTTTAAGGGCTCCTTTTGGGTGGATTTTAATTTGGGAATCGGAGGGGTTGGGTCAGTGGGCATTTCTCTAATTCTAAAGGAACACTGCTGGTTTCTCTCAGGCGTTTTGCACCTGGCAGGAGCCACGGGGGAAGATCCAAAGGTGGCTCCCTGGCACCGAACGTCCAGGGCGTACCTTGACGTGGTAGTGGGCATCCAGCAGGATGTTTGCAGGCTTGAGGTCGAGGTGGAGCAGCGGGGGGGACATGCAGTGCAGGAAGTTCATCCCCACCGCTGTCTCGTGGATGATGCGGAAGCGCAGTTCCCAGGGCAGGGGCTCGGACGCCAGGAGCTTTTCCAGGGACCCCGTTTCCATGTATTCCATCACCAAGCCCACCGGCTCTTTGCAGATGCCATAGACAGGAAGGATGTAGCGAAACTTGGCCATTTCCATCTTCCTGGCTTCTTCCAGTAACTCCATGCGCTCCCTGGGTGGAAGAGAATGGGAGGTGAGGGATGGAGCAGCTGTTTCTCCTCAAGCCAAACACGCACAAAACATTTCTTATAAAACCCAACGCCACATTTTGTGCCCATCCCCTGGCTGACCCAAGCTGCCATCTCACCAGCCTGCACTCCAGGTGGATTGCCATATTTACTGATTTGGGGTTTCATGCTTTCAACAGTAGGCAGGACCATGCTTTCCCAGCTGCAGGACCACAGGTGAGCCCTACACTTCCACAGTGCGAATATCCCGAGTGCAAAGCCCATCTCCCTGCTTTGGTGGTTGTGCTGTGCTGTTCAGAAGGAGGATGAGACACGTAGAGCCCAGCTCTACCACTGCTGGAACTCCTTGGGCTGAAGTCATTAAGTTTTTGTGAGTCATAAGGCTGTGTTAATCGGAAGAGAAGCCGGGCAGCATCGCTTCACAGCCCTGCTGCTGCATCCTGAGCATACACAGACCCAAACCTTGGGAGAGGAATCCTTGGAGCCACCACTGAGGGCAGCAAACTGCCTGCTGTAACCAGGGAGACACAACAAAAACCTCCCCAAAAAATACAGATCAGACAAGTCCAAAACTGCGCTCCCTGAGCTCCAGCAGGTGCCAAAAACTCCAAGCACAGCGTTTTCGGTGATGTAACAGGCCCGGGCCTGGCAGCTGTAAATGAGCACCCCGGGTTGTTTACAGGTCACTTCAGCCTGACCCTGCACAGGGTTAAGTGTTACTCAGTCCAAGCTGCAGCCTCCCAGGTCAAGACCCTTAATTGCTGTGCCTTTCTTGTGCACCTCACTCCCAGCCTTCTGCAACAGCTCACAAGGCATCAGGCTGGAGAGGAGAAACAGCCCAGGCTGGCTGTGCCCACAGAGTGGTCACACTTGATGGCTGAAAGACCCTTCAAAATGTAAAAACTGTGTTATTAGTGATTATGAACCCTGCCCAGAGCAGCTTTGGGCCATGGGCACTGCCACATCGCTATTGCTGCCATAGATTGACAAAAGAGGGCACAGGGAGGTCAGACAGGTAATATTTCCTGAGCAGACCCTCTGTTATTACACAACAGCTCCTACAATGCACCCAAAGATGTGCCCACTACCTAATGGACAACAGTACCTGAAGTAAAAGGACAAAGTTTGTGCTCTGTGCCACCACCGAGTGATGCCAGTTCCCCCTGTGGGAGCCTCATGGCAGAACCTCAGCTCAGTCTAACTGTTTTGGGTTTAAAATTTCAAATCCAAAGCCATCAATCTAACTGTTTTGGGTTTAAAATTTCAAATCCAAAGCCAGCTAGAAGCACTGTCCACTTTTGAAAAGAGAAGACACCAAGTCCAGCCTGCACACGGCCAAGTCTTCCCAAGTGTCCCCCGATGTCTGGATGAGCTGGGAGAAGCTGAAGCGCAGCCTGTGAGGGACCCTCAGATTTTGGGAGCTGTCATTCGTCCCTCAGGCTCGGCAGCAGGACACTCCCCAAGGCTGGGGATGTTTCTGCAGCTCAGCTGCTCTGGCAGCCCGCAATAACCTGCTGCAGGTAACACTTCCCAGCAGACCCATTGCAGAGGCAAGATCGGGCGGAAAAAAATCATCTAAAGAGGGACGTACGCGCCGAGAGAGAAACAAAAAAGATAAGGGAAATCTTTTCTATTAACCATGTTGGCTCCGGCTGCTCCCTACAGCAACTTTCTTGTGAAATAATCGCCTTTGCAGACAAGTACCCAGTTTGCTCTTTGGCACGCTGGAAGGGAGCGCCTATGAATAACACAAGCAACTCCTTGCCCCCAAGCCACACGCATAGCCAGCATAATTCACCGGGCCTCGGCGGAGTCAGGGATGTAAAACACCCGTCTGAGCCCTCCCAGGCAAAGCAAGAACCACTAAGACTCCCCGGGATGGGGTTCTCAGGCTAGCAACAGCCTGAGAGAGCATCGCCACAAGCACAGATTGGCTGCTGGAAATGGGGCGTTTTCTAAAGGAGCAGAATTTTCTGTTTCATTAGAATAATTTAAAAAGAAAGGAGGGGGGTGGGGGAAAGCTCCCTTTCTGCTTGTACCAGATCCAGTCAATTGAGTGAATTAACAGAGTAACAGGCGAGTGCCCTCTATCTAATCTGCCTGTTTAAATAAACCCCCATGCGACAATTACCACCCTTAGCACTTTCCCATACCCAGAGCATTCAAAACTGAACCAGCCAGAGGCCAGGGACGGCCGGCGAGGCTCGTCGGCTTTCAAAGAGCTTTCAAAAGGGCCCCTGTCACCTTTTGAAAACAGAAAAAGCGAGAAGACAAAAGGACTGAAGAGAGCCAAAGCAGTCATTAGCCGAGTGCCGGAGCGCACCGGCATTAATGGCATTAACACAAACAGCTCGTTAAAGCAAGATCTCCTCCAGCAGACAGGGATAAAAGGTGTCTCCCTCCCCTCTCCCGATGCTCGGAGCCCCACGGCCCCAGCACACGAGTGCTAATGGGTTTGTAAAACCCATCGGGGTTTGGCTGCTGCGGGGCTGGAGCCGCCAAGTTCACAGGCAGCGCATCAAAGGATGCGGCTGTGGGATGCTGGACCGCTCCGGTGCTGGGGAGTTACTCTGAACCATCCAAAGGGAAGGAAAAGTAAAGCTCCTGGTGGCGCTTTTCAGTCGGGAGCAGCAGGTCTAGCCCCTGTTGTAATGTTTTTTTGTTTAATACCCACTCGATTAAGGAGTTATCTTCTCTAGGCGCCAAGGCTCTGCTCCCCTCTCCCTCCAGTAGTGCATCATAACTTTGTTGTAATAAAGGAAAAAGAAAGAAGGGAAAATAGAAGGGAGAAGGGAGGGAAAGGAGGGAAATGGAGAAAAATGTGGGGAAGAGAAAGAAGAGGGAAAAATAAAGGAGGGGGGAAAATGGGGTGAAAAAAGAAGGGGAGAAAGAAAAATGGACAAACAAAGGAGAGAAAGGGAGAAAAGGAAAAGGAAGAAGGAAAAAGGAAAAAAAAGGATAAAGAAGAAAGAAAAATTGAAAAAGAAATTGTAAAGAGAAAAAAGAAAAAAGGAAAAAGGAAAAAGAAAAATGAAAAATTAAAAAGGAAAATGAAAAAAAGAAAAAAGAAAAAAAAAAGGGGGGGAAAACAGGGAAAAAGAAAAACAAAAGGGAAAAAAAAGAAAAGAAAATTTACACACAGGACAGCTGAGGTCATGTAAATGATGGGCTGCACACTTTCCTGTAAATAACACCAGAAGACAGGGGCCCACACATCAAGAGCTCCAGCACTGGTCCAGTGCCAAAGAGCATCTCTGTCAGAGAAGTCAGTACAGATCAATCTTTTTCAAAGCAACTAGAAATATTGCGTGGATTGGAGACCTCCAGAGAGCTGTCTGCTTCCACTCGAAGTCAGACAGATAGGGCTGCATTCCTTGGATTCTCCTGGACCTTGCTCTTGCCCACTGCCCCAGTCCCCAGGGCCCAGCCCTTGTCCCACAAACCCTGCCACAAGAACAGCAGGAATTACAGCTGTGCCTGCATTTGCATGCATCCAATCTTTGTGCCCTAGAGATAACACTGCTGTAAAACTACAACCTTAGACTCACCAGGCAGCCCTTGCAGTTTTATATTCCCCCACCACTGCCACCACATTTCCCTAATGGAGTCTGAGACAGAGCAGTTAAAAGTTGCTCCAGAGAAACTCAAAAAGTTGCTCCAGAGAAGCTCAAAATTTGTAATGAGGCCATTTGTGTGAGCCACCTCCAGACACTTCTCCCAGATCCAGCCCTGCTCTGCAGTCAGGAATTTTAGTTACCTCTTCACAAACTGCTGGTGGTGCAGGTGGGGGTCCACCAAATTACACCAGCCCTGAATGTCCCCAGGAACTCTTCTCATCTGCATCATGGCAGAGGTTTTATGAGCACACAGTGGCCTCTGCTCTGCGGGATACACATTTAACAATTTCCACACTGCTGACTCTCAGAGAAGAATGTGAATATGAGAAAACAAGAAAAAACACTGCATGGTCAGAGTATGTGGGGGGGGGAAGGAAGAAAATCCCTTTTTTTCAGGTTAACAGATGTCAGCCCTGCTAACAGAATTATAGGACAGCCAGGCTCTCACCTACTCTTTAAGGAGCACAAGGTGACTCTTAGGTTCTCCCTACACAGAAGACACATTCATTCACCTTCACCACCTAAATAAACGCAGCATCCACTAACAGCGAGGCATTTCCAAAACCTCCTCAATGTCAAAGTCCTGCTCCATTCCTAAATCCAAGATGTGCAGAAGGAGATACGTGTAGGGCTTTGCTTGGGTTTTTTTTTTTTTCCCCTTAATCAAGAATTTTTTTGCACCTCCACACCCTGCAGTCACCCCCATGGCCAACAGCTCCAGTAAAGATCCCTCTCCAGGAAATGTTACACCTTACAGTCAGCACGTTTGCGTTCAGCAGATGAAATCAACAAAGGATTCTCTCTCTCCAAGCTTGCCCCTGTTTTTCCCCAGACCACACTTCCATTCTGGCCCACACGGGTAAAGGGAAGAGACTTGAGCCTCTCCACGGCAAGTCCTGGGGGAGAGGCTCCTCCACCTTCCTGGGTCACACTCTTTTTGTTCAGATTTACATGGAACCTCCCCATGAGGAGAGCATCCCGAGTCAACATGTGAGAATCGAGATCTCAGGGATGTGGGAGCAAATAAGGTGTTAGGAATGGAATTTGGATTGTCTGAGGGCTTGGGCTGAAAGGTAAAAAACACTTCTGGCTCAACATTCAGTTTTTCTTCTGCTTGAGGCCACTTGGCTCTGTGATGTGATAATTGCTGAGGGAATTACTCCAAATCTCTCACTGTCTGCAGAAACACAGTAAGAGCGACTACACAGAGCATTACCACCAGCAAACCATTACAAACAGCGTTTTCATGTGGTACCAAATAAATACATCAGAAAAAGCCTCTGTGCTTTTCAGTTAATGTTTCTGATTCCACTGGCAATTCTTCTAACTCTTCATAGGGTTCCAAGAAACAGCTAGTCAAGTTAATCTCCTGGATTAACAACCTAATTACACAGGCTTGTTGCAACCTGCCAGCTAAAGAGGCTGTGTTTGATTCTGTCTGTGCCCCTCACCCCACCATTTGAATAGTACAAGTTTATTAGAAAAGTTTTGGGTGAAAAGTCTCAGCATAACCATTTCCTGAAAGGGGTTTGATAGAGCAGCCCAAGAACCAAAGGAGAAATATTTAAAAAAAAATAAATAAAAATCAGTTTACATTTATTTTGTAGCTGTTTCAAAGGCCAAGGACATTCCAATTTCTTATCAATGCTCTCCTCAAGCATCTGAAGCACAGATTCTGCAGTAAAATAAATTAGAGTTCAAAGGAATGGTTTATTGAAATAAATCAGAAGCTGCAGGAGCCCTGTGGTTCAAAGTTCCCAAATTCTCAAGGCATTTTTTCCTTACTGAGCTGCATGTTTCTATGGTCTTCCAGTATTTGCACACCTCAGCCACGGAGGGACAGGTGGCTCTCTACTGCACATGGTATATATTAATACAGAGATCTGATAGCAAATCTAAAAAGTAATTGTTCATATTAAAATAGGTGACAGCATCCTTTGTCTCAGAGTGCAAATTAACTTTTGGAGTAAATTTCTAGCTGTACACTGCAAATGAAAACTTCTAGCTTATTTTTAAGACATGTTTTTAATCTTAACTTCAAAATTAATCAGCCATGGTACTATTTTGATCAATAAGCATCAAACCCAAAACCTTCTTTGAGGTTTTAATAGTAGGGGGCTTGAAGATTAGCACAATAAAAATATAGTCTGCAATTTACAGGTCTTTTCCATTTTATTCACAGACAGCATAGTTACCCTATGCATAACAGTAAACGCTCCCTCTCCAAAGGACATTTAATTTCATTTATTCCGCTCTATACGCCATGCCTACTGCAAAGTCAGCAATTTAGATGCTGGAAAAGATGCTCAACTACCCCAGAAATCCTGCAGAAGATGGGTTTACAAACGTTTTCAGTCTTGGGCTAGCTTATCTCCCTCCTTCTGCAGGAAAGGCACCAACAGGAAACCTTTTGTGACTGAGCCAATCCACGTCTCAAAAACTGCAGAATCGGCTTGTGAGCTCTGCTAGTGATCCCAGAGACCAAGCGGAGCTGGGAAAGCTCCAGGAACACGATTTGTGCATATTCACCTCCCTCTGCTGCTGGAAGCCACCGCTGTCCCCACAACACAGGGATGTTCCTGAAGGTGCATCTGACAGCCCTCCTCTCCTCGGAAAGGAGACCTGCACTCACAGCTCCCACCCCTGGAGGTGTTCAAGGCCAGGCTGGATGGGGTTTGGAGCAACCTGGTCGTGGCGAGGGGCCAGAACGAGATGAGCTTTAAGGTCTTTTCCAACCCAAAACCCATCTGTGGTTCTGCGATCACACACAGCGTGAGAGCAGCACAGCCCATCGTCCTCACCAAGGACCACAAGGAGTGGCAGAGGGCAGGGGAGTCCCACCGCGGGGCACCTTAACCTGCAACACAATTCACCTCCAGGGACTCATCCCGAGCACAGACACACGGAGAAGCGCTGGCCCTGCACTGGAGCCGGACACATTTCCCAGCAGAAATGTCCTTTAGGAACATTCCAGGTCCCTAAAGATCCCGACACCCCCCAGCCCGAGCAGGCTGCCACCACACCACACAAGTCCTGCCCCTGCGAGCTACAGGCCTGGCTCTTCCCAAGCCCCTGCATCCCAGACATTCCCACTCCTCCTGCCCTTCCCATCCCATCCCCGCAGCGGGCCCGTGCAAGCCGGCACAGCCTGGGCAGGGCAGGAACGCCTTCCGCAGGGCTCCGAGGGAACAGGAGAGACATTTGGGATATTTCACGGGATCTGCTGCTGTTGGCTGTGAGACGGGCAGGGCTGCCTCGCTCGTTCTCCCCGGCTGCGCTCGGGGTACCTCTGCGGGAAGAGCCCCTTGTCCCCCCCCGTTGTCCCCCATTCCCTCCGTCCCCCCCTTACTTCTCATCCACATGGAGGCTGGGCGAACACTTGATGGCGAGCCAGGTTTTCCAGTGGAGGTGCCGCACCTTGTACACCTGCCCGAACCCCCCCGAGCCGATTTTCTCCCAGCTGCTGAACTCGCTCTCCTCGAAGGTTTTCAGCAGCCCCATGGCCCAGGGGGAGCCGCCGTCCCTCGCCATCGCCGCTGCCGTGTCCGGACCGCGCCCGGCTCCGCGGAGCGCAGCGCTGCGCCCCGCCCGCCCAGGTGAGTGACTCAGGTGTGCCGGGGGCACCGCCGCCTCGTCACTTCCTGGGACGGCCCAGGGGGTGGGTTTGGACTGGGGTTTTTTTTGCACAGCTCCCTTGGCTGTCCCGGCACACGGGAGCGGGGCAGCTCCCGGGTTCCGGCTGGCCGGAGCTCCCCGGGCGCAGCGATGGGGCGGGAGGGGAGCGCCGCGCACGCTGCTGGGCTGGGACAAATAAGTTGTGCTAAAAAGGATATTAAATGAGGCTGAAGTGTTAAATACGGGAGAGGGAAGCGCCAGCCACCTCATTCCTGCCTTTTCTTCTCCCCCTGCCCAGGGAGCGCAGCAGGTCCCTGTCCCCCTGTCACTGTCCCCCTGTCCCTGTCCCCCTGTCCCTGTGCATCCCGGCCTGGTGTGCGGCACTCCGGCCAGCCTGCCCCAGGCTGCTGTCTGCCCAGGCACGCTCTGAAGCAACAGCTTTTAGGCTCTGGGAAGCTATTGCCGAGAGCTCAGACATCTCTGGGTTTTAGTTGCCCGTGGGATTAGAAGCTTTGATGAGATTTCAGTGCCTCGATCCTTTTGTGGATCTAATTGCAAAGACCACAGGACTCCCAGAATTGTTTTGTTCGGAAAAAACATCCAAGATCATCAAGTCCAACCTCTGGCCAATCTCCACCTTGTCAACTAAACCATAGCACCAAGTGCCATATCCAGTTTCTTGAGCACCTCCAGGGATGGGGGCTCCAGCTCCTCCCTGGGTTGTTGTCCTAATGCCTGACCACCCTTTCAGGGTAGAAATTCTTCCTGATTCCAAGCTAAACCTCCCCTGGTGCAGCTTGAGGCTGTGGCCTCTCATCCTGCCCCTCGTTCCCTAGGAGCAGAGCCGGACCTTCCCTGGCTGCCCCCTCCTGTCAGGGAATTGTAAAGAGAGAGAAGGTTCCCCTTGAGCCTCCTTTTGTCCAGACTAAACCCTCTCAGCTCCCTCAGCCACCCTTCACTGGACTGACTCTGGATTCTTCACCATCTCCTTTGCTCTGCCCTGGACACACCTCAATGTCTTTCTTGAATTTAGGAGCCCAAAACTGGACACAGGATTGGAGGAGTGGCCGCAGCAGTGCCTGGCACAGAGGGACAATCTCTGCCCTGCTGGTCACACCATTCCTGACACAGGCCAGGTGCCACTGGCCTTCTTGACCCCCTGGGCACCCCTGGGCTCACATCCAGCCGTGGCTCAGACCAAGGGATGTGGGGCCTCACCCTGTTACTGAGATGCTGCAGTTGGAGTTAAAGAGCCTGCAGCGTTTGGTGTGTAACAGGACTGGTGAAGAGGCTGTTCTGACCTGCATCACAACCTTCACCCCTATCGCAGGTCTGAAGGTTAATAAAGCTGGCCTTTGTTTGTTACACTGAGTATCAGACTCGAGGTGATTGTTCTAGGCAGCCAGTGTGTGTCATTTAATCTGGCAGGTTGGGCAATAGATAGAGGACAATGTGTTTTAAAGCCAGGGTAATAGCAGTTCTTTGCAAAGCTCCATTTCAAAAAGAATCTACAGAGACATTTAATTACCTTCAAAAGGCACAGGACATGAAACCTGTTCTCAAGGCTTTATTCCACACGGATTTCTTCCTGCTTAATTTACTCCGGATTAAACTAAACAACGGCTTACTCTGAATGAGAACATCTTTGTAGAAATAAATCAGAAATAAGAAATAGCTGTGTGTAGAGACAAGCCCATGGGTCACCTCTGTGGCTCAGCAATACACTTCTACCTGGCCTCTGTCTCCTGGATCATCCTGAGCTGCTCCTTGCTTTTACTTGGGATTCAGCTCTCAGTGGATCAGCCTGGAGAGTGTGTCCTGCTCTCAAGGAGCTCTGCTTAAAATGAAGGGATTTGGAGAACCAGGGCGCTGAACATTTCTGGAAGAGCTCACAACTTTATTCCTCTAATGATACATTGTCACTCAAACCCCTGTTTCACTGGGAAGATGGTGAAAGTTAAGCAAGACAAAATTCAGCTTGCATTTAGCTGGCAGTTAAGTTTAACCAAAAAGTGAATTGTGCACCTTCTGCCTCCATGGTGATTTGAGAATTAATTCAACAAACACCAAGCAAGAAAGGAGTAAGTGCTCATCTGAGGGAATTTCAATTATTTACATGCTTTCAAAAGGGCTAGGACTAAATAAAATTCACATTTAAGGCGCTTAGAGGACTGGCTTCCTGTGCTCTGAGCTTTTTCTTGATGAAATTTAGAAGGCTGGAAAAGGACACCAGAAGAGCTTGTCTTCAAGAGGTGGAAAAAGAAACCAGCAAGGGAATTCCAGAGCAGTCAGGTCACTGAATAATAATGAATGAATAAATAAACAGATTGATTAATTAATTAATTAATAATTAAAAGCATCCTAACAGTTGGCCAGGCTGACATACAACAGTCAGTACTAGGTTTCTTGAGAACAAATCTTGTGCAACCAACCTTTATATTTTTTTATACCAAAATAAACCAAAATTTATCCTTCTGTGGCAAGGTAACTAGTCTCATGTAATTCCTTCCCTCCTGTGTGTATGTTAGCAGGGGCACCACAGGGAACCTCTCTTCTTACTCTGCTTCACTGTCTTGCAATATTTCCCAGTCCTTTCAGAGAACAGGATCCAATCCAGTGCTTCAGCTTGGCTGTTTTAGAATGAAATGCTTCTCAAGGGTTGCTTGGCATGAGTGAACTCAACCTGGTGCTTCAGCAGGTCACAGGGCCCCTTTGTCCTGTATGTTAGAGCTAAAATATTTTGCTTTTAAATTCTGTGAACAAACAGCATCTGGCAACTAGGTAATAGCTTTAAAGTTGATATAAAACAGCACTAGTTTGCAAAACTATTAAACAAAAATCCATCTATTTGTCCACTCTGCAAATATTTAGCTACGTTGGGTTTTTTCCTACACAGATGGTGCAATAGTGCAGCTGGGTTAAGCCAACCCAAAGCTCTGAAGGAGGCTGCCATCCCCTTCTTGTGCTCCTGTTCACAGGGCTGCATTTGCACTCACGTGGTTGAACAGTAACTGAATCAGCTCAGTGATCTCACTTCAAAAAAACTCCCTTGGTTAGTTTGCAGCCAGATCAGAAAGCTGGCCTGGCTTACCAGGTGCTCCTTGATGTCAACAGCAAGGCAAGAGTGGGCTGGAGGAACCTGCCTCCGTGTGGAGGTGATGAAAGGGGCACGGCTGCACCTTGGAGAGGATGCTGCAGCTCCCTGCTGATCTCGCCTAAAGCACCCTGGCAAACCCTGGTGTGGAGATGGAAATGAGCCGTGGGAAGACAGGGGGAATCCTGAAACCAGCTTCTACTGGGGAAATTTTTTAAAAAAGCAAGGTGCAGATAGTCCCACTGAAGTCAATGACACAGTGGGGCTGGACTGCTCTGGGCACGTGTGTGGATTTTTGTGAGTGCAGAGCTGAAGGTGAAGGCAGCTCTGCCTGCTCAATACCCCAAGAGTCAGTTCCTTTATAAATTGATTTGAATGCACAAAAGTTAAGCCAGAATTAAAAGGCAGGTTGAGGACCACACTTGGGCCTTCAGCAGGGTGGTTTTAGTGCTCATAATAGCTGAACAAATGAGAACACAGGTTAATAAAAACCTCGTGGCTTCCTTGTAGAGATGAGAACTCTTTAGAGGAGGAGAATTGAGGCACATCATCATTTGCTGGAGATCACAAAAGCTCCTTGCTGTAGACAAAAACAGAACAAACTCTGCATTTGATGCAATCTAGTGAGAAAATTACTGGTTTGGGGCTTTAGACAGGCTTTGCAGATTGCTTTTAACAGCTCTTATTTAATGGAATTATATACTAAAAGCCATATCAGGGCAACCACTCCTCTCCCAGACACCAAACTTTAAAGCCTGTGCAAAATAATAGCACTGCTTAGTGATCCAGCTTTGAGACTCTTTTTTCCCAGAGAAAAAATACTGTGGTTTTTCTCCACTGCTTTCCTAGAAACTGCTGAACTATCTTTGCTAGCATTCTTCCTCTGCAAGGATAATAAAAAAGCCCTGCATTCACGAGCCTAATTGAGAAGTATTAAACAACCCAAATTTTACATGCACCTTGTTATCAGTTCTGTTAATGATGGAGAGTCTGCGCAATGGGAAAAAATAGTAATAAAAAAAATAAATATTATTAATTTTTGCATTAGCAGCAAATGACTAACGCAGTTGTTTGTACGTTATTTGAGAGAAGAATGGCTAGTTTTAAATTTTAATTCTTAAACCTCTGAGGACAGATAATGAGTTCTGCTTGATTTCCTCCAGCTCAGTCTTGCTTTGCTTCTTGGCAGCCGCGCTCGTTTTTCGGGTACATTTTTTGGATACGTTTCTTGGGTACATTTCTCAGGGATGTTTTTTGGGTATGTTTTTGGGTACATTTTTCAGGTACACCTTTCTCAGGTACATTTTCTGGGTACATTTTTTTGGGTACATTTTTTGGGTAATTTCTTGGGTACATTTTTCAGGTACCTTTTTCAGGTACATTTTTTGGGTACACACTTTTAGGGTACATTTTTCGGGTACTTTTTTTGTGTCTCGGGTACATTTTTCAGATACACATTTTTTGGGTACATTTTTCAGGTACCTTTTTTGGGTACACATTTCTCAGGTACATTTTTCGGGTACATTTTTCAGATACATTTCTCAGGTACATTTTTCAGGTACACATTTTTCGGGTACATTTTTGGGGTACATTTCTCTGATACACATTGTTCAGGTACATTTTTCGGGTACACATTTTTTGAGTAAATTTTTCAGGTACACATTTTTCAGGTACATTTTTCAGGCACACATTTTTCAGGTACACCTTTTTTTCGGGTACATATTTTTTGAGTATATTTTCGGGTACATTTCTCAGGTACATTTCTCTGGTACACATTTTTTGAGTACATTTTTCAGGTACATATTTTTTGAGGACTTTTTTGGGGTGCATTTTTCAGGTACATTTCTCAGGTACATTTTTT